GGGCATCACATGGGAAGAGGGCTGCGGTGACAACAGATCCTCCTCCCTCACCTGGGCTTTGAAGGAAAGACACAGGCCAGAGAACCATGTGGCTTGTAATCAGTGTGCAAAAATATCATTGTTAAGTTGTTCTTGCAGCTTTAGGACACGTTTTTGGAGCAAGAAAAACTAAACTTGAGGTTGGTGTTGTAGGGAGTGGCTGTGTAAGGATCGGTCCAGCGTCATTCACCTCTGGGTCGTTGTTGTGCAAACACACACCCAGCTGAACATTTTAGGCTATGGAAGTTTATCCCTCTAAAAGCAGCAAGCCTGCTCCTAGGTGGGCATGTCTGCAAGATCAGGTCCATCATGACAGACCGTAAAATCCCTCAGAAAGCTTCTCAGAAGTTTTCTATCGTTTTCTCTTTCTTCCTCCTCTTTTTGCTCTTCTACATTTTCCCCCCTTCTCTGTTACCAAATTGGAAACGGATGTGTTATTTTTTAAACTTGGGGCTCTAAAATAGTAAGAGCAGTGATAGTAGCTATTAGCAAAGCCAAACACAGTGAAAAAAATAATTAGTTGGTCACTGTGGAGAGGGCTCGAGCCGTCAACTGCTGTATGTTGTTGAATATACCACCCCCGTACAGACTGGCGCAGCTTAACTTTCCCTGTCACATCACATCTTTGGCTTGAAGTCAGTGAAGCTGTTCCTTAAATATTCAGTATTGCCTTAAACCAGGCCTGTGTCACAACATGCACATTATATAATATTTTCAGTCTTTAAATAAAATGTATGTGGACTTTGCGTTTGTAAACCGTGGTGAACCAGTAGCAGCAGCTATGGGCAAGTCCTGCTTTAGTCATGGAAAGGATGAAATGCGGGTAACTACAGCAGCAGCTCTCCACACACTGCGGTGTGGTGATGGTTTTGTGGGTCCTTTGCTAGCCGGCATGCGGGGCACGGTGTTTCTCCTCTGGGCTGACGAGCTCCAGCGTGGAGAGCTCTTCCCCATCCCAATCCAGGGCTGCAAGGCAGTGCCAGTCTGGGGCTTGCCACGGGCTTTGCTGCCCACTGGGAGCCTGCCCTCCAGTTCTGGCTGCCCAGCTTTGGCAACAAAAATATCCTCAAATATCCCCCCACCTCGCTGCTCATTTTTTTGTGTCTACCCCACGCAATGTGATGTCTTTCTCTTCTGGCTCTGCCAGCAGAGCAGTTTGTGCGTCGGCTTGCTTGGCTTACATTGCATAAATTGTGGAAGTGTTTATTTGGTTTAAATTAAAAACAAAATAAAATTGGCAAGGTTTTTTGTCAGGCAGATCGGCTCCCCAGGCTGCTGCTCAGATGGGTTGCAGGTGGTGGTACAGGGGTGAGAAGGAGCGCAGGGGGTGGCGAGGCAGGGATCCCCACCGAGCCCCTTGTGTCGTGACGCCACAGAACCTCAGGAACTGCATCCCTGCAGTTACAAGATCAACCCAACTGCTGGGATTTTTATTTTTTATGGGTTTTTTTGGAAATGATGCACTCGGGAATTTATTTGCCTTCCAGATGCACTCAGTTGATATATGAGCAACATGTTTTCAGGGCCAAAAAATATGCAGGAGAGACAGCAATGCTGGGAGCAGGTAACGTCACCTTGCAGAGCATCGCTGTAGCTGAACACGGTTCTGAGGAGCAGAGATGGTTAACATGAAGTGATGAAGGGGGCTTCCCTCTCTGTGCTTGGCCACAAATTCAGTGTTACCCTCGGTGTTCAGACGTACTGTGGCTTTTACAGCTGGCAAGGAGAGCATAGGTTGAGTTTCCCAGATGAGACTTGAGTTGGCTGACTGCTGGAGACCAGACCAGTAAGTCCCATCATGCAGCTGGTTTCATATCCACGGGCTTTGGAATGCCCTGGCCAGGATCGGAGAGAATTTCAACTTTTTCCGTTTTCTTGTAAAGAAAATACAGAAGTAAAAGCCTACTAGCAAGGAAGAATAGAAGTAGCAAAATGTGGTAGGGATTGAAATAACACACATGCATCTCGAACCAGATGTGACACTATGCTACGTTTCACAGCGTATGCATAAGTACTACCATACAGCATGTGCGTGCGCCTGTCGGCTCCCTCCTCCCTTGTCGGCACTAATCCTGGTGCACAGATATGCTGAGACACAGTCTCTGCCTGAAGAATTTGCACCCTAACTGGAGGCAGCTGGAGGAGAGAAGGGCACCACGGCATGCAGCGGCTTGACCGAGGCTGTATATTGTGAAATACAGTAGAGAGCAGAGATTGCTGTCCTGCCTCCAGTGCTCTGCCTCTTGGGTACCAAGATCATAATGCAGCTTTTTATGCTGACTTACTGTCCTCTGTGAAGCTTGATGCTTTATAGGTATTGATTATTTAAGCATTGAATTTTCTCTGATAGAGGAATGTTGTAATAATTGTTAATATAGAAATTATTTGAAATGTAACCAGAGATAACATAGCAAAGGCAAAAGCAAGACCTAAGCCCGTCAGGTCTTGGTATAATGTAATTCAGTGAGGCTTAAACATAAAAAAAACATTAATTCAGGCTTAATGGCATGAATTGGTTTGGGTTTCTTAAGGAAAAAGTTGAGGAAATACAGAATAAACCAGCAAACTCCTGGTCATACCGAAACAGATGGGAGCTTTGCCATTGATTTCCATGAGGCTCGAGTTCCTCCAGTCTTGCATCAGCAGCGATGCTGAGCTGCCTGCCCTGCCTACGTCATTCTTGCTGCTGCTTTCCCTCCTCACTCACCGTGCAGCTTCCTCTGGCACTGGATGTGTCATTGAAGTTGCATCGCCCCAGCACTCGGGGAGGAGTGGGGATGAAGTAATGCTGCTGCCTGGATCTGGGCCTAAATTGTATCCTGATTTTTATTCATTGTTCGGGACAGAAGTCAGAGGCATTCTCTGGTGCCTGCTGTCTCAATACGCTGAAATAAGACTGGTCATGTGCTTAACTTTAACCACATGCTTTGGTGCCGCAGCGGCTTGGGCCTGAAAAGGCTGAATTTAGTGCAACTTCTTTTTCTCTGCTTTTGCTATTTATTGTTAAAGCTGGGTGTTGCAGCCAGCACTGCTGAGGCTTTTTTTTTTTTTTTTTTGCCTTTTGGAGAAAAAGAGAGGAATTCACTTTTTCTCTCAGCACGGATGCTAGCAGTCACATTGGCCCACGCGAGGCTTGGCAGTGCACATCTGCTGTGACGGAGTGGGCTGAGTGAAGGGGGTCCCAAACGCTCCTGCTGCTTCTGGTTGCCTGTAGATCATTTTGTGCAGGACTGGGGAGTCATCTCAGAGGCATATCTGTTTCTGCTGTGGACCTGATCCTGCAGGCTTTCCACGTGCACAGCTTCTCTCGGAAATTATGAGCGTGCAGGGCTGCAAGATTGGTCCTATCATGACAATTTCCTGGCAGAGGGAAAAGGCAGAAACTATTTTTAAATGAAAGCTTTGAATCAGAGGAATATTGCAGAGTGCAGCAAAAAATTGTGTCAAAACCCTGAAATCATGGACTCGGCAGTTTTTTCATGCCAGTGGTTTTCTTCTCTTCATGGTTTTAAGGCTGTGTTTTTGGAGGACTGGGCTGAGCATTTTTCAGTGAGACGTTTCTGTTCTCCCTGGTGCACATTATCGCAGCAGCAGCAGCATTTTCGGTGCAAGTCAGGCTGGAGAGAGGTGATGTGCTGTGTTGTGTTCACAGGGGTGGGACTTTGCAAAAGAACCCTATACTCTGCCTTGCACACGGTCAAAATGATTCTCCTTTTAAGTTTGCCCAGGAATTTGGTTCCGTGTGTCCCGCCCCCCGCCTCCGATGTGGTTTTATGTTCCTACCTTGGTGTATATTTCCAACTTTTCCTTCCAAGTTTCAGTGCTCAGTGGTCACTTGGGAAAAGCAAATAAGAGAAAGTGTGTGACTTCTTAGCACTGGAAAATTATGTCCTCTTTCCCCCATCACTCACTTTTGTATAGCTTAAGAATGACCCAAAGGGCTCTTGCTCAGATTTTCATTTAAAACAAGCCATCTGATTTGATCCGAGATCATTATTTCCCCCCAAAGCGCTCTCAGAGTGATTTGAACATGTGAAAACAGGCAGTTTATAACCACAGTTGTTTCCCTGCCTTTGATAGAGTGGTCACTAGTCAACAAACCTAAAATTCACTGCCTCGGAGGGAGATGCTTTAGTTAATTAGTTACAATCAGTACCGTGCTAAGAGACTCACTGCTGCTTGCCCGTGTATTTGCCTGCTAAACTCACTTGCTGGCTTTGCTGATCTCGGTCCACATATTGCGGCTGGTTTCCCATACCTGCTCTATGAGGAAGCGCCCAGAACCACATCGGCACAGGGGAGATGATGAGCATCTTTCTCTTGAGCCATTTTCCGTGCTCTGGAAACCTGAGGGGCTGGGTGAGCCTACTTCCCAGGTTTTGCTCTTCTGCTAACAGGAAGTTTCCCAGGCTCAGCCTGAGCTTACAAATTGTAATTTCCATTGCACATTTCTGATACTGTCTTTTAGCAGTCACCCACATGCCCCTTCGTGCACTCCCGCAGCGCTCTGCGCATTACCTGACTGCTCCCTTCCTTGCTGCAAGGGGCTGCATTTCCCTGCCATCCTCTACTTGGTGCCACTCTGCATCATCCCCACTGGTCATTTTTGGGCCTATGGCGTTTTGGCAGCCTCCAAGGACTGCCTGTAGGTAGCTGTGACCCCAGCCCTGGTGTCCTGGCTCTGCTGGCAGTGCTGAGGTGGGCTAGCCTGACACTGCTGACACACCGTATTTACAGAAAGCCATCTCCCCCAGGCCTTTGGGGGCTTGCCTGCAGCCCACATATGTCATGCCACGCTATGTAAACCACCAGGCAAAGTCCAACCTGGTGATGAGCAGCGTACAGGATCCTGTCCTACCGTTTACTATTTATGTATGTGAGGTTAAATGGAAGGGAAAACCAACCTGGCACGCCTTTTGGTTTGAAAACCTGGCATTCACCCAGCTTTTGCTTTTTTCCAGGCGACCTGGTGTCTCGAGCAATGCACCACCTCCAGCCCCTCAACGCCAAGCAGCACGGGAACGGGACGCCAATGCATCAGAAGCAGGGATCGCTCTACTGGGAGCCGGAGGCTCTGTACACTCTCTGCTACTTCATGCACTGTCCACAGATGGAGTGGGAAAACCCCAACGTGGAGCCATCAAAAGTCACACTGCAGACTGAGAGGTAAGAGCCACTGCACGGTGCTTAATGTCGTGGCGAAGATGTTTTGTTAATAAATCAGCCTGGCTGGCTAATTGCTAATTACAGTTTGCGCGTGAGAGGCTGCGGAGCAGTCTGGTTTGGTTTAGGATCACCTCTTTGAAACTGATCAGTTTCTCTCGCCAAGTGCTGCGTGGCCGACCCAGTATATATCAAAAGTGACACCCAGTGGCTACATACAGCAAATTGGTTCCAGATGTGCACTCGGGAGAGATTTCCTTTTCCTTTCGTTGTTGCTCAGCTATTCTGTGTTTTGGAAAAGAAAATGAGAACTTCTATTTCTGGTCTAGCAGGTTCAGGTTTAAATGTGTTTTTTCTGTGTGTTAATAGGGCTCAACAGCTGTGATTGGGGAAGTGGAAAATGAATAGAGTAGTGTGTGGAAAGGAGAGGTCGTTAAAGATGCTGGGCTCCAGCCCTGCCGAGTACCCGGGCACAGGAGTAACCTCAGGGCTGCCCTGGATGGGGACGTGGCAGGCTCTGGCTGTGCTGCTCTTGTTCCCCTCCTTCCAGGGATAGGCAGGTCAGGGAGGCACGCCTGAGGCCCCGTCCTGACTCAGGGTCTGCCTTAAGATGAGAAGGAGACACCATCAAAGCTGGTGATGGGGTCACTAAATGCCTCCCGGCAGGCAGGGTACTCAGCGCAAGGCAGCTCTGCACCCAGGCACTGCAGAAAGCAAACGGGACAGCTTGCTGGCCAAGAAAATAAAGCCATCTCCTGTCAAAAGTCCAGCAAACCCTCAAGTAACACAAGTCTCCACTTGTGTGCTGAGGCACACTTTGCTATCTCCCTGCTGCGCTTCTCACCAGCCCTAAACCAGGCTTCCCCAGTACGGAGGTCAGAGGAGCGACTGGTGCTTGTAAAGTGCTGGATATTCATTTTTAGGATGGGTATCATGGTGATGCAAATGCAAGCTGCTTTTTCAAGCTGGGCTCCACATTTACATCCCAATGTATTAAATAGTGCTGTACATGTAAGCCAAACTCTGATCTGCATGTGTGCCCGAGAGCCGTGCATATGGGGCTTGGCTATTGTTTCAGTATGAGGTTTGCATCTCAAAAGCAGCATTTGAGAATCTCATCATATGTGTAATCATAAATGGTATATAATATAATATCTTAATTGAAATACTTTTATATCGATTTACAGAAAAGCATACAAGATGAAACTCTGGCATTAATGATGTTACTGGGAATTTTGCCATTTGCCTTTGGATGGCTTTTTGTTTCTTTTCAAGTTTGGGTTGCTCCGTGAGCATGTTTGTCGCTTTTTGCTCTATTGTTTCCAAAGTATGGGAAAAAAAAACAAAGCACCCCACCAACAGAAGGGAAGTGACAAGAATCTAGAATTTTCTAATTTTTCTAAATTATTTTTAATTTCATGATTTGTCAATCCAGCCTTGTTATTGTGGAAGGCCTAACTTGTGTCCAAGAGTTGTTAGTAGGCACAAAAAATACCTAAAATTAGAAAATACTCTCACTTTATCTGTAGTCCCTATCTGTGGGAGTAATGCCACTGGAACTGGTGGGAAGATAAAGGTGAATAATGCTGAGGCTCTGGGTTCGTAAACTTTCTGCAGACTTCCCTGTGGAAAGTGAAAAAGGCAAGGAATATTTGAAAAATCACTTTTAGCATTTGCTTTAACAGGTTTTCCTTTCTCTGAGGTCACCTTAATACGAGTTCTCTTCATTAGATTACTTGAAACACCCATTATTTAAAGCGATTGTTCTTCTTTGCTTTATTTTGAATACTCTGTCTGGCAAGACGTCTTCCTTTGGCAGGGCAGTTTTAACAACTGCGGTGTGCGGTTAGGGCCAGAGCAAGTACTCGGTGTTATTGCCAAGAGCCTGTGGTCACTTTTGGAAGGAGCAGATACTCCTCCTGTTGCCTAATCAAACATGCGTTAGTGCTTAGTGCTGGAGTGGGAGCGATGCAGGGTTAAGCATGAGCCTGGATATTTCCACAGGGTTTGTGCTCTGGAGCTTCATCAGATGGATGCAACCATCCTGTGCTGCCCGGAGAAGAGATTGGTGAAGCTGACTTCTCCTTAGTGTTCTGAGGAGCCTTCCTACCTATTTCCCATCTTTTTTTTACATGCAAGCATGCTTTGTGGTCCATGACTTATTTCTAGTGGTTTTGGTTTCCGTGATGGGTTTTTGTGCATTGCAGGGGAGTGGTTTTGTTAAACTCAACATTTTTATATACAGAATATTTGCAAACTTTGTGCCCCATCTACACGCCGTATTCCCTCTCTTCTTTCTTCTCCAGCTGTGGCAATTGCTGTTATGTTGGAAGAAGCCCAGAGGGAAGCAAGGAGGTCCAGGCGTCTTTCCCCATTCTTGGCCTCTCTGTGTCCCTGCTAGTGCAGAGAAGCCAGGACTGTGTGGATCTGGCTGTAGGCAGTATTTCCATGAAACGGGGGTTGTCCTTGGCTCATGTGAAGCAAACTTGGCTACTGTTTTGGCCCCCTCCTCCCTGACCGTGCATGCCCAGGGTGAGGAGGGCTGTGTGATGTGGACAGAGAGCTCTCCCAGCACTTGCATGTCTTGGTGGCCCCATGAGAGCTGATTCCATCCTTCCCACCCATCTCTAGCCCACCTGGACCTCAGCTCTGAACGGGGTTGAGTTAGGGAGCTGCCAAGGCTCTGCATGTCCTTCTGCAGAGGCTGGATACGGGAGGGAAGCTGTTACGGTGGCGAACCTGCCTGGCTTAGCACTTTCCAGCACAGAAAGCAGTACCTCCCTCAAAGTCTTGGGGGACGTGTAAAACGGGATGTTTACCTTTGAATAAATCCGGTGCTTCGTTTCTAGGGAGCATTTCTCTGTGTTTGCTCTTCATGGAGGTAAAGAAACGAGAATGCAGTGTGTTTTTAATAGTGTTTGTCTTTACATAAAATAAAAAGGAAAAATGATTATACAGTGAAGCTCTTGCTGGGGAGGGGGGAGCTGCTTTCATGAGAGGGGAGGGAGGTGGAAGGTGGCCAGGATTGCTCAGAAAACCTGGAAAAGATTCCCCACTTCCTCAATGCTGACAAACCCAACTGTAAGATGGATGTGTGACCCCCTCCCACCCCAAATTCCTATTCTTCTTTCAATCTGGTCACTTTGGAAGAAACTCTGTGATTTTTTGGCTGTGGTGTTGGCACTAACACAAGCCAGTCCTGCTGGGGTGGGTTATCTAATGGCCCTGGGTACCATGTAAACAGCTTTTTTGGCAGGCATGGAGGTATGGGGAAGGGGTGGGGTCCCCCTTCCCTAATGCACCCAGTAGGGACGTGGTGGAGACGTTGGTCTTGTGCCACGTGTTGCCTGCGAAAGCAGTGCTCCTCCGGTGCCTCCACCTGTGGGCGGCTGCAGATTTTTTAGGTTTGTTCATTCTTTTGCTTTCCTGGGAGCTAAAAAAACAAAAAGAAATTGTAGATGAGGCCACTGTTACCAAGATTTCTTGCTTGCTTGCTGCTTCTCATTTAATAAAAGGATCTGTCCTGTGGTTCTGTTTTGCTTCTCAGCCTCTACAACACTTCCAAAATTATTGCAAGTAATTTCTTAAGCTCCGGAAAGCACAGAATCTGTAGTTGCAGATTTGTGTGATGGTTTTTTCCTTAAGTGGTTCCTTACCCACTTTTATCCACAGCTGTATTGACAAAGTCCTCATTACTTCCTAACTCTCCATGTTCCCCATTAACAACTCATTTAGAAGTGGCTGCTCAGCAGCTCAGCCGGTCCAGAACCACCCATTATTAATTCTGCTCACACGGCAGCAAAGTTCCTTCTCCAGCATTTCCTCTGCCGCTCCGCCTTGGAGGAGCATTAACTCGCTGTACCACTCGGCAGCCTTTAGTTTTTCCCCTTGGGTCTTAATTGAGTTGATGGATACGTGTCTGGTTTTAACCTTGTTTTCATTTTTCCTTCACTACTTTTCCCTGAATGCGGAGTAATCCCTTACAAAACTCTCATGGGCTATTGCTTGCTTTTTATTTTTCTGCCTGCCTTGCACGCATGCACACACACACACATGCAAATTGTAGCCTGTAGTAATTTGTGATCAATGGGAAGGGTTTGGGTTATCACCTGAATTTTGTTTCATGCTTTGGATAGTTATTAGTGTACCTGGCTAATTAATATGATACAGCCCTCTTAATGAGAAGAATGTTCCACTGCTATACAATAACCTGAACTCATACAAAGCACCTTCATAACTGGTACAGCCATATCCACTGTATAGATTATACCCCTAGAACAATTTTAGTAAGAAGATAACTAGGGAAATGTGTCCCTGGTTTAAATTATTACATGGTACAAACTCCATGGGTAGGACAGTCTCCAGCAAGGGCCAGCAGAGAGTGTAGGGAAAAAAAAAGGAATGCTGATGAAGAACAGGTAAAGCGCTAGCACTGGGAATGTGGAAGTCCTGCTATGAAACCTGAATGAACCTTGCAACGTATATCTGAAGAAGGGATTACACGTGCTTGATGTGCCGGTATGGCATAGCCCCCTATAACCCTATATATTTTTATCCACTATTTAGTTGAAAACTTCACACGGTAAAACTGTGGCCTCGCTGAACTCAAAGTTAACACCAGGGTTGATTTGACTTGGAACCACTGAAAAGAGATCCCAAATGCATCCCTATGTAAATCCTCTAGATTTGTATTCTAAATACCAAACTTCCCACGTTTTAAAAATCCGTCAGAAATGGTATTGGCAGCTGCCTGCAGCATATGAGATTGCACATGTTACAAGATACAGTTCAGGCAGTATTCGTAGCTCAGCTGTTAGATAGTACATCCTTGCAGGGCAGGGGCTGTATGCTATATCTAATTTATCAATCTAGACTTATGCTGTCCATGGGATGGCTATGGGATATTTTTTAAATAGAGAAAATTGTGTGCAGCACTGCGAGAACAGTGCGTTACCCCGGACCGTTCTGTGCCGCGCTCCCAACGCTGGCATCTCTTCAGGGAT